CCAAGACCTTTATCATGAAAGGGTGTTGAATTTTGTCGAAGGCTTTTTCAGCATCTGGGAGATGATCATATGGTTTTTCTTTTTCAGTTTGTTTATATGGTAGATCACGTTGACAGATTTTCGTATGTTAAACCATCCCTACAACCCAGTAATGAAGCCTACTTGATCATGGTGGATTATTTCTCTGATGTATTCTTTGATTCGGTTTTCCAGTATTTTATTGAGTATTTTTGCATCGATGTTCATCAGGGATATGGTCTGTAGTTTTCTTTCTTAGTTGTGTCTTTGTGTGACTTGGGTACCAAGGTGATTGTGGCCTTGTAAAAAGAGTTTGGTAATGAACCTTCTGTTTCTATTGTGTGGAACAATTTGAGGAGTATTGGTATTAGCTCTTCCTTGAATTTCTGGTAGAATTCTGCACTGAAGCCATCTTGCCCTGGGCTTTTTTTGGTTGGAAGGCTTTCAATGACTGCTTCTATTTCATTAGGGGTTAGGTCTATTTAAGTTGTTTGTCTGTTCTTGATTTAATTTTGGTAAGTGATAGTTATCCAGAAATTTGTCCATTTCCTTTGAATTTTCAAATTTTGTAGAGTACAGGTTTTCAAAGTATAACCTGAAAATTGTCTGGATTTCCTCAGTGTCCATTGTTATGTCTCCCTTTTCATTTCTGATTTTGTTAATGTGCATGTTCTCTCTCTGCTTTTTCGTTAGTTCAAATAAAGGTTTGTCTATCTTGTTGATTTTCTTGAAAAACCAACTCTTTGTTGCATTGATTTTTTTTTTTTTTTGCATTGTTTTCCTGGTTTCTATTTTATTGATTTCAGCCCTCAAATTGATTATTTCCTGGCATCTACTCCTTTGGGGTGAGTGTGTTTCTTTTTGTTCTAAGGCTTTCAGTTGTGCTGTTAATTCTCTAATGTGACTATCCTCTGTTTTCTTCATATGGACACTTAGTGCAATGAACTTCCCTTGTAACACTGCTTTCAAGGTGTCCTATAAGTTCAGGTATGTTGTGTCCTCTTTGAATTTTATGAAGTTCTTAATTTCTTTCCTTATTTCTTCTTAGACCCAGGTATGGTGCAATTGTGCATTGTTCAATTTCCATGAGTTTGTAGGGTTTCTGTGATTTGTGTTGTTTGTTGAATTCCAATTTTAAAGCATGGTGGTCTGATAAGATACAGGGGATTATTCTAGTTCTTTTGTATCTGTTGAGGTTTGTTACGTGGTCAATTTTAGAAAAGGTTCCATGTGGAACAGAGAGGAAGGTATATTCTTTTGTGTTTGGATGGAATGTTCTATAGATGTCTGTTAAACCTAATTGGGACATAACTTCTGTTATTTCTTTTGCTTCTTTGTTAAGTTTCTGACTGGTGGTCCTGTCTAGTCGAGAGTGTGGCATGTTGAAGTCTCCCACTATACGTGTGTGAGATTTTATGTGAGGTTTGAATTTTAGTAGTGTTTCTTTTACGAATATGGGTGTCTTTGTATTTGGGGCATAGATGTTCAGATGTTGTGTTGATGTATTTCTCCTGTGATGAATACGAAATGACCATCTTCATCTCTTTTGATTAATTTTGGTTTGAAGTCTAACTTGTTAGATATTAGGATAGCCACACTTGCTTGCTTCTTGGGCCCATTTGATTGGAAGATCTTTTCCCAGCCCTTTACCCTGAGGTAATGTCTGTCTTTAAAACTGAGATGTGCTTCTTGTATGCTGCAGAAGGATGGATTTTGTCTTCGTATCCATTCTGTTAGCCTGTGTCTTTTTACAGGCGAGTTAAAACCATTAATGTTGAGGGAGAGTAAGAACCTTTGATTGTTAATGCTTGCTTGTTTTAGATTTGTTGTTGGCAGTGGTATTGTGGATATGTTTGTCCTGCTTTACCCTTGGGTTCTGGTGAAGTGGGATTATCTGTTGCCTATGTCTTTGTGAGCATAGTTAACTTCCTTGGGTTGAAGTTTTCCTTTCAAAACCTTCTTTACGGCTGGATTTGTAGATATGTATTGTGAAAATCTGGCTTTGTCATTAAATATTTTGTTTTCTCCATCTATAGTGATTGAGAGTTTTGCTGGATTTAGTAGCCTGGTCTGGCATCCATGGACTCTTAATACTTGTAGAATATCTATCCAGGACCTTTCTAGCCTTGAGGGTTTCCATGGAGAAGTCATGTGTAATTTTGATAGGTCTGCCTTTATATGTTACCTGTCCTTCTTCCTTCGCTGCTCTTAATATTCTTTCTTTATTCTGTATGTTAGGTGCTTTGATTATTATGTGTTGAGGGGTCATTTTTTCTTTGGTCCAGCCTATTTGGGGTTCAGTATGCTTCTTGTACTTTCATGGCCATATCCTTCTTCAGATTGGGAAAGTTTTCTTCAATGATTTTGTTGAATATGTTTTCTGCACCTTTGATCTTGGCTTCCTCACCTTCCTCTATGCCTATTATTCTTAGGTTTGGCCTTTTTATGGTGTCCCACATTTCCTGGATGTTTTGTATTAAGGATGTGTTGCATTTATGATTTTCTTTGGTCGATTAATCTATTTCCTCTAGTTTATCTTCCATGCCTGAGATTCTCTCTTCCATCTCTTGAATTCTGTTGGTTATGCTTGTGTCTATAATTCCTGATTGTTTGCCCAGTTTTTCTGTTTCGAGCATTCTTTGGTTTGTGTTTCCTTTATTATCTCTATTTCAGTTTTCAAGTCTTGAACCGTTTCCTTCACCTGTTCAATTGTTTTTTCTTGGCTTTCTGTACTTTCTTTAAGAAATTTGTTCATTTCTTCCAATATTTTTTTTTCTTCCATATGTTTAAGGAATTTTCTCACATCTTCTTTGAGGGCCTCTATCAATTTTATGATGATAATTTTTAAGTTGTTTTCTTCTGCTTTATCTGCTTTGGGGTGTTCAGGTCTAGTTGGTGTAGATTCCCTAGATTCTGATGGTGTTATGCTTGTCTTTCTATTGTTAGGTGTTTTCTTGTATTGCTGTCTTCCCATAGCTTCTTCCAGTAAGTGTTAGTGGAGTCTCTCCCTCTCTCTATGGTACTCCCCAGGTAGGCATAGGTGGGTCAGAGGTTCGATGTCTGTAGCTCTGGGTGGTCCAAGCTCTCTAGGAGGCCTCTCCACAGGCAGGGGCCTGGCGATGGGGGTCAAAGATCCCGAAGGCTGGGACTCAGAATGTTCCATAGGCTGATAGGCAGATCTCTTATCTGAAATTCTCATTCAAAATGATGTTTTGTGTTTTACTGGCAACCCTACCCCAGAGATATATGATATCTGCCTCTTGGGGTTAGTGGGCATCCAACAATGACTTTAGTTAAAAGTCTTAGCCTTTAAGACTTTCTTCAGCCTAAAGTCTCCTTTGGTGATTATTGAACCTTGGGTAAGAGGTGTGGGGGTGGGGGTAGAAACCCTCTGACTTTGTTCTCAAGTTATTCAGTATTATTGGCCTGAGACTGTATGCTGGAAACTAATAATGAAGCATGGAAATCTGTGCAGACTGATGCTGAGTTCAGGCCGTTAGTATTAGAAAGGTATAGAACTGTAGAACACCCAGTTTGTGATGAAGAATTAGTTTGTATGAGAAAAGGATACATATTTTATGTCAGGGGAGTGAAAACTAAAAGCAGCTGCTTTTGCCATGGTTAGTGTACAAATTAATAGAAATGGGGTTTTTAATTATTTAACAATAATGATTGTTAAGTAACTCAAACTAGAGTAACTCAAGCTGGAGAGATGGCTCAGTAGTTAAGGAATGTACTGTTCTTGCAGAGGACCAAGATTCAGTCCCCACCACCATAGTGGCTCACAACTACCTGTAACTCTAGTTCCAGGGGATCCAGTACTCCTTCTGACTGTTCTGGGCTCCTGCACATATGTGGTAAATACATACACTGGGGCACAAAGTAAATTTTTTAAAAGATTAAAGTAACTGTAGTCAACTGAATGCTGAAAAGAGGTAGAAATGCATTCTGTCTTCCCACTCTCATCACCGTCCAGCTCAGTGAGTGTCACAGAGCAAATCTTTTCTAGGGATTCTCTGCAGCTCTTAATCCTGTCTAGGGAACTTTTGACTCTTAGAGGGCCTCAAATAATACCACATTTTGACTTCTGCCTTAAAGGGAAAGTTTAATACCCACAGAGTGTTTCATAAACTCTATTAATATTTAGAGGAATGGCTCAGCAATTAACATCCCTTGCTGCTTTTCTAAAGGACATGAGTTTGGTTCCCACAAACCACCTGTGCCTCCTTCTGGCTTCCACAGGCACCCATATAACACCATACACACATACATGCACATATCCAAATAAATAAAAAATACAAATAAATATTTCTCCCATATCTTAAAATTGAGAAGATGGGACTGTAGAGATGGTTCAGTGTTTAAGAGCATTTGTTGCTCTTCCAAAGGTCCTGAGTTCAATTCCCAGCAACCACATGATGGCTCACAACCATCTATAATGTGCTTGATGCCCTATTCTGGCCTGCAGACATACAAGAAGACAGAGCACTCATATACATAAAACACTTAAATAAAATTGAGAAGACATACTTTACTCTTAAAGAGAAAGATTTGCAGTGACACCCCTAAAATTAACAAAGCCATGTTTGTTTGCAGAAACCAACAATGACTTCTATCAGCTAATATACCAATCAGCACATGTAAATGTTCTACCACGTGTATGCTGTGCTTTTCTGCTACCTTTAGAGTTTCTAAAGAGGAACATGATAAGTGCAAGCACAAACTACTTTGTTCTCCATGCTCCCAGAAAGCATTTCTTATACAGACTTGGCATGATCACCAGTGTTTTTAACCTTCTGGCAAAATGATCTGTAGAGAAGGAATACCAAACTCTGTGTCTAAATAGTCAATAAGGGTTTGCTACCCAACTAGTCAGAAAATTATCCAGCAGAGTTTTCATTTCCAGATGAAGGATGGTGGAATAAAGTCTCTCTGTTCCAAAGGTATGAATGACAAGAAGCTTATGGTCTTTGTTCTTTTAGGAGAAAAACTAATGTTGAAGTTGGCATTCCTGAGAAAGTGGGAGGAGCCAAGACCATGGAGCCTGAAATTGAAGACCATGAAAAACTCCAAGTTAAAATTCAAGCTTTTGAAGACAAAATAAATGCTGAGGGCAATACCCCTGCTTCTGTCCGGAGATACAGTTTAGACCAGATCTCTAAGGAAGAACAAAGAAACATTAGATTTAGCAGGTATAACTTTTTTCAGAAATAATTTTGTAATATGAACTTACAATTGCTATTGCTTCTGTTGTTACAGTGCTTTGAGGTGTTTTATGTTTTGCTGCTTTCTTTTTAACCCATGTCTTCCCAAACTTCTGTCCTTTAATGAATTAAGTACTCCCTGTAGTGCTCTCATTAATCAAGTAACCTTACTATTTACTTAGGCCAGCCTTCCTAATTTAATACAATTCCTCTTGTTATGGTAACCCCCAACCTTAAATCATTTTCATTGTTACTTCATAACTGTAATTTTGTTACTGTTGTGAATTTTAAATACCTGATATGCAAATTCAAAGGAGTCAAGACCCAAGGGGTTGAGAACCACTGACATAAGGAATATAAATAGAAGGTAAACATCTGATTTCATTTTTAAAACACTTTTTGAAAATAAGCATGCTAATTTTGAGAATGGCTGACAGTTGCATTCCTTACTCTAATGAATAATCAGAGGCAAAAGCAAGAACGAGTAAAAATCTCTTGATCTACCATTTTACAGCCACCTTTACTATGCATCTGACTTAAATCTTCCTTTGGAGGTGCCTAAGCATTTTCTTCTTTCTTCTTGGGGACAGAGTATAAAACCCAGAGTCTTATGCATATCAAGTGTGTGCTATGCCACTGAACTGCAACCCTGGTCCTATGTTTTCAGAGTGTTATTCATCACACAGCTTGGTGGTTCTCATATTATCTGTTCTATTAATAGTGTCTCACCCTAGAAGAAGTAAAGTTGTATCCCAGCATGACTGTTTTTTCCTTTCCAGGGATTGAGAGCTTCCTTAACTCTTCTAACCTTTCATTATAGGTCCAGAAGTTTGGCTTTGAATATGGTGCTCACAAATGGTGTAAGTACAGAAGATGGGGAGGCTGCAGAAAGGGCAGGAATACATGCCAGCATCTCTCTTTCAGAAATAGACCCACTTAGCCACGGAATTTGCAACTTGCCTCTCAAGATAGATACTCATGGATCACAGCTGAAAAATTCCTCAGCCTCACATCCAAGTATTATATATATAGAACCAGAGAATAAACCTGAAACTCTTAAAGAAAACATCCAGGAAGAAATGCCAGAGACAACCACAAGTCCTGTTGAATACCATGATAAGCTCTACTTGCATTTAAAGGAAAACCTCAGTAAAGTGAAGGCTTATGCCATGGAAATTACAAAAAAAGTCCCAGTCCCAGACCAGTGCACCATTGAAGGTAAGCACTTTGAACTTCCCACACTCGAAATTTCAGATGTCAATAACAAAGACAAAACTCTCAAAACTAAATATGTGTACCCTTTTATGGACCTTTTGCAAAATAGATCATTTGAAAATAATCTCCTAGTACCTTTGTTTCTTCTCTTTGAGCAAAGTTGACCCATCTCTTGACTTTTGCCTTTTTGAGTCTATTTAGATGGTTCTAAGTCTCCTGAGTTTTTTCAAACCTTTGTGTTGCTTTATTTCCCATTCCCAGTGTATCAAAAGGGAGGGACAGTGGCCTTGAGGCAGGCATCAGGGTCAGGAAATCCAGAGAATACTTCCAGTCATGTAATCAAACAGGGAAGGCATGCATCTCACTGGCTGTGAGAGATTGTCCTCTTATTCTATTGCTATGTGCCCTGTTCTGGTCACTAAGGGGTTCAAGGTCTAAGTGACAAACCCAGTCCTTGATTTCCTAGAGACTAGAATACAGCTTCTATGTGGTGCTGAGAAGGTATATTCTCTTGTGTTTGGGTGAAATGTTCTGCAGATATATGTTAGGTCCATTTGAGTTATAACATGTTAGTTTAACTATTTCTTTGTTGAGTTTCTGTATAGATGACCTTCCCATTGGTGAGAATGGGGTAATGAATACTTTCTCTCAATGTCTGAGGGTTAATGGATAATTTAAGCTTTAGTAATGTTTGTTTTACAAATATCAGTACCCTTGCATTTGGGGTATTGATGTTCAGAATTGAGATATTATCTTGGTGGATTTTTCTTTTGATGAGTATAAAACATCTTCTCCCTTCTCTTTTGATTAATTTTTGTTTGAAGTCTATTTTTTAGATATTAGGATAGCTTCACCAGCTTACTTCTTAGATATGTTTGATTGGAAAATCTTTTTCCAACCCTTTTCTCTGAGGTAATGTCTATCTTTGATGTTGAGGTATGTTTCTTGTGTGCAACAGAAGGATGGATCCTGGTTTCATATCCATTCTGTTAGCCTGTTTCTTTTCATTGATAAATTGAGTTCATTGATATTGAGAGATATTAATCACTGTTAAGAGTAAGGTTTTTTTCCTGCCAACCTGGGCCCAGAGCCACGCCAGCCACAAATAACACACAGAGACTCTATGTTTGATATAATGCTGTTGGCCAGGTACTACTTTCTTATCGGCTAGCTCTGTCTTAATGATTAACCCATTTCTATTCATCTAAGTATTTCCATGTGATCTTATCTTACTAGAAAGAGGGGCCGGCGTTCTGTTCTCTCCAGTATCTCCACATTGACTCTCCTCCCTACCCCTTCCAGAATCCTCCTTGTCTCCTAGTCCCGCCTATCTCCTATCTTCCTTTCCCATTGGTCAACAGTGCTTTATTCATTGACCAATAAGAGAAACATATTTATACAGTGTGTGTGTGTGTGTGTGTGTGTGTGTGTGTGTGTGTGTGTGTGTGTGTGGCATGGGTGTATGTTTCCCTTTGGAATTTTCTGGTGTGAGATTATCTATTGCCTGTGTTTTCATGGGTGTAGCTAACTTCCTTGGGTTGGAGTTTTCCTTCTAGCACCTTCTATAGGGCTGTATTAGTGGAAAACATGGTTTTTTTATATTATTTTTTGTTTTTCTTATTTTACATATCAATCCCAGTTCCCTCTCCCTCCCTCCCTCTCTCTCTTCCACCCTCCCATCCCCCCCCCCATATACACACACTCTACATGTAGGGTGATGCCTTCTAGGAGGTATCATCTAAATCTGTCAAGTCATTTGAAGTAGGAACTAGGCCATCCCTCCTGCCTCTAGGTTAAAGGAGTATCCCTCCATGAGGAATGTGTTCCTGAAGTCCTTTTGTGCCCCAGGGATACATCCTGGTTCCACTGTCAGAGGTCTCTTAGACTGCCCAGGCCTTCTGACTGAGACCCATGTTCAGGGGGTCTGAGTCATTCCAATGCTGGATTCCCAGCTATCAGTCTGAGGGGGGGGGGGGACATTAGCTGTCTCTGTGGGTTTCTTTAGCCTGGTCTTGTCCTCTCTCTCTGTATCTGAATTCCAGTTCGGCTCATTGTTTAACTGTGGGTGTCTGCTTCTGTTTCCATAGCTCCTAGCTGAGGGCTCTATGATGGTAGATAAGTTAGTCATCAGTCTCATTATCAGGGAAGGGCATTTATGGTAGCCTTTCCACTGTTGCTCAGATTGTTAGTTTGGGGTCATCATTGTAGGTCTCTGGACATTTCTCTAGATTCAGTTTTCCCTTCAAACCTATAATGGCTCCCTCTTTTATGTTCTCTCTCTCTCTCTTTCTCTCTCTCTCTCTCTCTCTCTCTCTCTCTCTCTCTCTCTCTCTCTCTCTCTCTCCTTTTCCTCCTCTGACTCAATCTCCCTAGTCCCACGTGCTTGCCTCTCCTCCCCTACTCTTTCTCCTAGCCCCTCTCCACTCACTACCTCCCCACTCCCAATATGTTCAAGAGATCTTGTCCCTTTCCCCTTCTGTGAGGGACCTTGTATGAATCTCTTAGAATCCTCCTTATATCCTAGTTTCTCTGGCAGTGTGAATTATAGGCTAGTGATCCTTTCCTCTATGTCTAATATCCATATATGAGTGAGTACATACCATGTTCCTCTTTTTGTGACTGGGCTACCTCATTCAGAAAGGTTTCTTCAAGTCCCATCCATTTGCCTGCGAATTTCAAAATTCCATTGTTTTTTGTTTTTGTTTTTGTTTTTTTTTCCCACAGAGTAGTATTCCATTGTGTAAATGTGCCACATCTTTATCCATTCTTCAGTTGAGAGGTATCTAGGTTGCTTCCAGGTTCTTGCTATTACAAGTAATGCTGCTACAAACATAGTTGAACAGATGTCTTTGTTGCATGGATGTGGATTATTTGGGTATATGCCCAAGAGTGGGATTTCCGGGTCCTGTGGTATACTGATTCCCATTGAGAAAAACTTTGTTTAAATTTGAATTTTCATGAAATATTTTTTTTCTCCATCTATGGTGATTGGAAGTTTTGCTGGCTATAGTAGTCTGGACTGGTGTCTGTGGTTCTTAGAGTCTGCAAGACATCTGTCCAGGTCCTTTTGGCTTTTAGAATCTTCATTAAGAACTCAGTTGTAATTCTGATAGGTCTGACTTTATTACTTGGTCTTTTTCCTTTTCAGCCTTTAAAATTCTGTATTTATTCTGTATATTTAGTGTTTTGATCATCATATGGCATAGGAACTTTTTTTTTCTTGTCCAGTCTATTTGGTGTTCTATAAGTTTCTTGTACTTTTATAGGTATGCCCTGCTTTAGTTGGGAAATGTTTCTTCTGTGATTCTGTTGAACATATTTCTGGGCCTTTGAGCTGGGATTCTTCTCCTTCTTTTACTCCCATTATTCTTAGGCTTAGTCTTTTCATAATGTTCCAGATTTCTTGGATGTTTTGTGTTGGAAATTTTTTAGATTTAGCATTTTCTTTGATCAATGAATCTATTTCCTCTATCATATATTCAATGCCTGTGTTTCTCTCTTCCATCTTTGTATTCTGTTACTTATACTTGTATCTGTAGCTCCTGTTTGCTTTCTCAGATTTTCCATTTCCAGAATCCCCTCAGTTTGTATTTTCTTTATTGCTTCTATTTTATTTTCAGGTCTTGAACCATTTCCTTCACCTGTATGTTTGTTTCTTGACTTTCTTGGCATTCTTTAAGGAATTTACTGATTTTTGTTTGTATTTTCCTCAATTTTTAAAGGCTTTTTTTTTCATTTCCTATTTAAGGACCTCTATCATCTTCATAAAGTTATTTTTAAGGCCATTTTGTTTTGTGCTTTAGCTGTGTTGAAATGTCCAGGCCTTGCTGTAATATGATAGCTGGGTTCTGGCGTTGCCATATTGCCCTTTCTGCTACTGATTGTGTTCTTACATTGGCATTTGGGCATCTGGTTTGTGGATGGTTATAGGTCTATGTATAGATCTTTGTGTTTATCCTTTTGGGATGGGTGTTTTCTTCCTTGGTTTCTGTTTACTTTCTGATCTTCTGGCCCAAGTGGCCAAGGATTCTGGTGACTGGTGAGTCTTCAAGGTCAGTAGGGTATCTCCACTGTGGTTTTGGGGACCTTGAGTCCCTAGACCCAGCCAGGCCTCTGGTAAAACCAAAGTCTTCTTCCAAAGTTGTAGGCCAGAACATGGAATCAGAGTGAGGGATGGGGTGGAGGGATGAGGGTGGATGGTGGGGGTACAGTCTGGGCTTTGCACATGGGTGGTGGGCAGTGCCTTACCTAGGGTCCCTAGGACCAGCTTGGCCTCCAATAAAGCTATCAGGGCTGTGGGCCGGAGTATGGAGCTCAAGCAAGGGGGTGCAGTCTGGAAGTGTTGACAAGGCATAGGCATTGGATTACCTGGTGTCCGTATGTCTGGCCTGGGCTCTGTTAAAGCCCAAGTCTCATTTAGACATTGGGTTTGGAATGGAATTTTTAATGGGAATAATTTGCTTCAGTACTAGTGATACTGGCAACTTGAACCCTAATAGTGACTCCAGGCTCTGAAGCATCCTGTTAGCTGTGTTCTAGTCACATCTATACTGTAAGACAATTCCCATGCCTTGAATAGGTGGCTTCATTTCTATTGTTTTCACATCATTATGTAGGTTATCAAGCTGTGTTGGCTAAAAAGTCTTGGGGCTATTCACAGTATTTCACAGCAATAAAGCACTTATTTAGATCAGAGACAAGTTTAAGTGACAATTTAGTAATGTTTGGGGACATTTCTGTTTGCCCCAGTTTAGGAATGGTTGCTATGGGTATCTATTGATTTTGGCCTGTGGGTACATCTAATGCATCATTTCTGTCTTCCTTCCTCCTCATTCCTCCATTTTTCCTTCTTCCTTTTCCTTCCTCCCTCCTCCCTTCTGACCTCTAGCAGGGCAGCTCACCCTGGCCTTTCTCATAGATGCTTAAACCAAGAGTCCATAGCTTAAGGTAATGTGACACACTCTGGACTGGATTGCTTCCAATGCTTTTTATGTTCTGCATGC